TCCCTCCCCCATCCACCTTTATTCTTTTCTTTACAATAAGGCTTTCAAATAAGTCATGGTTGTACGGCAGTGAAGCATTGGTGTTGAGCACTGATGTCATGCTGTCGTTGATGATGATGATGATGATGATGAAGGCGCGTAGAACCAACAGCACTCCTTGGTCAGGTCAAAGGTTGACCACCTCCCTGCTTGCGGCACTCTGGATTTGGCACGCAAAAAAACACTATCTTGGGCAAACGACAGTTCGGCATGCACAATACATGACCTAACCAACGCAGCTTCTAATGCTCGACTCATTCTTCCATAGAAATAGCCATTGCACAATCGAATACTCGCTTTATAAAGGCACTGCCACGGATTCGCCGACACCAAGCTAAACGAGCTATGGTACTAAGACAAGGGTTATCAAAGACCTGAACACATCTCACTTCCGCCGCTTGCAGAGGTGAAGTCTCACAGCCATATAACAATACAGCCCGTCATGTAGCCTGATACACACGTCGCTTGGGATTCGGGGGCACGGCGCCATAAGTGTCTCCAATCAACGAACGCGACTCGAACTTTAGGAATCCGAGCATCGACCTCATCTGTCAAACTACAATTAGAACTCATACAACTTCAGAAATCAGTAAGACGATGCGCAATTTGGAGTCCTTGTATCTAGACCGCAGTGGTTGCGTGTCCAAGAGCGTACAAAGCACATGCCGAAGGTACTAAATCCCTCAAGACATCCCAGGACAGCGTTTCTTTCGGTCTATAAAAAGTTTTCTATTTGAATAAACCTTAAGTACTATGGTTGCCAGAGAAGAGGAACGTGTCCGTAATTTGGAAAAGAATTGCATAGAAGTCGGAATAGTCGCACTTACTTCAAGGCCGTCAGCAAACAGCGACAAAATGCGTCCCAACGATCGCTGCACTGAGCCGTAAGTATCTTCAGTGTATGAGGCTAAGGTAAGGCAAGCCAGAATTTCAATGGCCCAGATTAACGACTGTCCACCGGTGTAAACCTGAGTTGACGTAGACACATCTTCGAGAGGTCCTGCAAATAAGTCTGCGGTGATGGCATACGGTATATCAGACTTGAGCGATTGTAAAAGAGGCAGTTTTGATGCCACCTTCGACGCCTGGAGATGAGAAACGGTACACCACAAAGATACAATCATTGAATATGATGCCATCCAGACGGAATATTTCTATTCTATGTAAGGTTCCACTCTCAGTTAATCTTTACCATGGATCACCCGAACTCGGTCAACTAGGACACAAAGCATCTCTGGATTACTTGGAGTGGTTACTACTTGCATTTCTCAAGCTCTGAACCGATTGCATAGAGATATGGCCTGGTAGGACCTTCTTTTACAGGGGCGGGTGGATGGGTAGCACATAGGAGACGACAGACAACGAGGAGCTCCTAGGGAAGGTTATATTATCAAATAGCTACTCTGGCCGTTATACTGCAATTCATAACAAATTAAAAACAAGCTTCTCCCGTGGCTCATGAGGCACAGGAGAACAGTACATTCCTTCGCTTGCAGCTTAAAGATGATGCAGTAAGTGGCCTCAAGCACAAAGTGATGCCCGTTTTAAGTCACGTCCATCTGGCTGCACGGTTGCATCTAGCGGACCCCACTAAAGGACCCCCGTTGCACGAGCGAACAAATAGTTCGTCCGCTCTTTCGCTCTCCAGTGTAGTCTCTCAATTGACGTGCAGTTGCAGTAACACATAATGGCAGAACACACCAGCATCTATTCTCCTGTGCGTCTGAGTACATCGCGAAGTGGGTGATGTAGTTGATGTAGCCACCAAATTGCACGGGTCAGAGGTCAAACTGAAACCTACAGTCATCGATCGTGAGGCGTTTCCTTGGCTATTGCAATGAACTCACAGACTGATTTTGAGTTTTGCTACGAAATCCAAACCCTCTAGGTTCTGTTACTACTCGAGGCCAAATTAATGACTTATCAACCAGCGCTGTGTGCGCAAAAAGTGTTGACTCGGACATGGTTTCCATCATTTGCTGAATTTTGCTGAGTTTCGTAGTGGCTGTCTTTCGCCTTGCTTTATAATGCTTGTTACACATTGGCTTTTGAAGGCAGCTTGGGGAATTTCAACATGCCGCGACATATGCCTTCTCTCTGATCTGGTCTAAAGTAGAACCAACATTATCAAGCGAATCTATGGACATCCGTTGATAAAAATTAGGGGTATGAAGTCGTAATAAGTTCTTGTTGTTTATACAGGACGTGAGATGTCCCGGTTTTTATTAAATCACTTAAAGCCATACTCCGTCAGTCACCAGTTGGTTCACAATTTCACCCGGGAAATTAATAGTATTTCTGACAGTCAATTTATGCATGCTACAAATTTTGTCAGACGACGATATTGATTCCCATACTGTACATTCTGAGGTTCTCGTTTGCATTGGTATTGTGGAATCCGTGAACCCGTTGACTGCTTTGCCAGTGAGCTAAAAGCCACACTAGTCAAACAGTGTAAATACGTGCCGGTGATCAATGGGGGAATTGCTGCACATTGCGAACAGGTAATAAAAATAGACGTCGAGAGCACCTCACAAAAACCAGACTTCCTACCACCAAATTCTGTCATTCGTATGACGAGGATCTTAGCATGAGGAGGTAAAGATATGTGTAACTGAAGCAAATCAGCACATTTTGATTGCTGCAACGTTATAACCAGTATGAATAACAAACCCATCAACATCAGTGGGTATATACCAAAGGGTAAGGAGTGTAGATGATCTGTCCTTCCCCAATACTCATTGGCGGATACTAGTCTACAGGATATGGTATCACGCGGACGATTGCCTAACTACACAAATTGGGCTTGATGTTGAACACATTAAGACTGACTCATTTGATGATCGCGAAATCCTAAGGATGGAAGTTGTTTTATGTGGTGCTAGTAATCCTATGGGACACATATGAGGGAAACAAGCTTAAAAATTCATTGCCAATGTGGAGGAACCTACCCGAACACAAAGAATGTTAACTGCTTCTCCAAGTTCACGACGCGCGAGAGAATCCACCAACGACGGGCATTCATCAGTGCAGGATAGGGCATTCCTAGGTGTAAGTTGTACAACAGAGCCGATTCCAAGTCTCTGACGGACTTGCGTCCGAAATGAAGCAGGCAAATGATCCTGATACTTCACTTCAAAGGGTGGTATTGCCACTGTATCATAGAAATAATGGGAATTGAGCGGAAAATACGAGCAGGATGGTCAGATTGAAATTCCCGAAGAAGCTAGACAACAGTAATCTATCAACTCAGCGACCCTACGACCCTACTAACTCAGTAAGTTGTTCATACTAAACTAGAGTGCTTGAAAACCAGAAGGCTACCAACAAAGGCGTCCTCGCCACTCGGAATAATAAAACGTGTACTGCAACCTTAGAAACATGACCTTAAGACCTTATTAAGACCTATTTATTTTATATTTGCTGAGACGTGGCACATGCCTCTGTTGAAAAACCCTGAGTAATTTTTACTTTCTATTATTATGAATATCTTGCAACGAGGGTTTTGCAGGATTTTCGACATACAAATTTGTGGTGCGCTAAGTAAGCATGCCTGACACGACTGCTATGCCTGATTATTCTTGGAACAAAGACACTATATCTGAGACATAATTTAATTAGAGCTCAGCAGTGGTGCATATTCCAAGTCGTAAACAAGGTTCGCAAGCCAGGCACCTTGTACATGAAGTAAGCGCATTTGACCGCCATTTATCAGCAAAAGCCGAAAGTATCTGAGTTATTCCGCGACTAAGGGGCAAACTCACTGGCCGGAAGGTCCGTGGTTCGATTCCAACCTCAGCATCTCGACTGCTCTTAACTAAGCTTGGACGACCTGGCCGCGGTTTTTCAGCGGTGAAGCATCAGCTTCGACAATGATTTGTGGTCTATGATGGTGATTTGGGAAGAAACGTATATATCAACCACTAACCGAACTTCGGAAAACACGCCACACCCATGTAGTGTCTCACTGGCCGAAGGTCCGTGGTTCGATTCCAACCTCAGCATCTCGACTGCTCTTAACTAAGCTTGGACGACCTGGCCGCGGTTTTTCAGCGGTGAAGCATCAGCTTCGACAATGATTTGTGGTCTATGATGGTGATTTGGGAAGAAACGTATATATCAACCACTAACCGAACTTCGGAAAACACGCCACACCCATGTAGTGTTTTATGGATGAATTCTATCGGAATTCACATTTGCGCACTTTATAGACCGTTTTTCTCACGCTATATAGCTACATTATGAACATTAGGCAATCGATATCGGGATTGCTGGTACCATGTTTTGTGGTTACAATCACACGGTTATTTATAAATTGAGTAATCCGAGGCATCTCGGCCGTTGTACCTCTTTCGGATTGAAAAAGATAAATACATCATGGCCACACCTTGACGATATGGTTTTTGTAGGCTAACTTGTAAACCACTGTTGAATTAAGTACCCCCGGTGCTCGATATGCTAGCATCATCGGCTTCATTAGAATCGGCGCAAACCATAGGTATGAAGCAGTCTTAGTTATTCCGGGATACGTTTATACTTGGACTGTTAGGAATGTTACTTTAGGTAAGCATTAGCATCAGTCCTCTGCACATCTAACCGGAGGGAACCACGAGGACTAGGAAAGTTCCGGATTACTCTGATCGGAAAGACAGGGTGAAGTTTGAAACGTCTTGTGGTCAGTAGATCGCATCTCAACCGCCAGTCACCTTGGGCAACAGAAGCATTGGAAATCAAAGATAAAATATGCGACGACTTATAGTTCGTCTAACAGTAAATTGCCCAAATCTGGAATGTACCACACTCTATCGCTCAAAACAACCCAGCTAACATAATTGATAGTGTTTTTGTACAGCTGACGTGCATGTGAAAAAAATAACACTTCATTAAGCATTGCTAGGTTGCTAGCACCAAAAATCAGAAAGTGAAAATATTATACGCGGTATGTAGTTCGGGTGAGTTCATTTGTTGTTAATCTGTTCGCCGAGCTTGGTAATGCGCACCCAAAAGCGCACTGATGATTTCTCCTCGTATGGTAACGAAACGTTTGCAGGCCAATTACCAAGCTCGGCGAACAGATCAACGGCCATTTGTACTAGCCAGTGTAGTAGTGATTTTGGGTTAATGAGCAATTGGATATCCCACATTGACCTCGACTTGGATTACGGGTATGTCATTCTGCCAACTCGTTGTATCACAGGTCGAAGACATTCGGCTAGTAGCAGTTGTTGAGAATAAAGGCCGCAAGAATCGGCCAATTCGCTATTAATCGCGGTGAAGCGAAAACGAGGAAATGAATGGAGACGAAAAATCTACCTGATGTTGTTTTGGACATCACATCGGCGTTCGCACGATGCACCTTGGTGATAAACTGTTCAATAACCGAAGTTGACCAACTACTAATTTGACGCCAAAGAAGAGGTCGACCACCTGAAACAGACATACGAGAGAATATCAAAATCATACAAGTTATGAAGATGACCTTTGGCAATTTGCTGCTAATAGGCTTACCAAGCGTGTTGAGTGAGAATACAGATGCTCTAGCAGAGGGATCGATCGCAACGAGGTCAGCAAGACGCTCCAAAGCCAAGTTCTGTTACAGTCACAATCAAATCATTCCTGACAATGCATATTACCTTTTCAATGGGTGTGGACGATTGGTAGAAGACGTTAAGTGCCGATTCTGGTGTCTTTATTATCGTACTCACTGATGAAGCAAGTGGCTTGAAAATGGAGAATGGAAATGGAAAGACGAGGTACCTTCGAAAACTGCCACTTCAAAATACTAAGTGCACAGCTCCAGGAGAATTGCAGATGAAAGCCCACCACAAACAGTAGGAGGAACATACGAATGTCAAGCAGAAGCCACAGTAGTGGTAAACTAAAATACAAGCAGTCCTTAATAGGATTATAACAAACCTACCGCTGTTGCCGAAGACCACAAAAAGGTTTGGGACACAACGCATACAGTGGAATGAAATAGAGAACACGTCCGACTGTTGTTAGAGCTCTCTGGACAGTATGCTCACCCACAATCTCAGGCAACCTTGCCTGGCAGAAGCTGATCAAGTGTTTGTCAGGAGTAACTTACAGGCGTGTGGGAATACAATAATGTCAGCCGATTGAAAATGACCAAGGTCACGGAGGACACGAAGCCCATAAATGCACCATAAGATACCAGACAATGAGCGCGCTGGTTAAATGTGAAGCTGCATGGGTAGAAAAGGGTAAAAGAGTGGAAAACTTACAACTGTGTATCACTAAAGATCGAGGCATATTTCGATGGTGCCAATACATGAAGAACAAAAAGCGTGTCCAAGCCTGCCAAACCTGCGCTCAACAGCAACATTTGGATACTGTTCCAAAGTATATTGGTGCCCAGTTGATAATATTTCCGAGCAACACGGTCGGCCACTGAAAATATTTGACAGAAAACCAAACGAACCAGATATCCGGATATAAAATAATATCGTTATGGAGGATACGATCAAACAGTTACACGTGTATGATAGAAGTTGACCTATTGATAATACGTCCCAGAGCGTATCTTTGAATTGGAGTAAAAGACAACCCACTGCTTACCAGTAACCCACCGCCAGGGATAGGTTAAGCGAATATGCCCAACACATGCAAAACTGAATAAACTAAGCGTACTCACACCCGCCGACAACAAGCAAGAGAACATCAACCTGAAATAAATTTCCTGAATGAGGATGGTAGCGCTTCTGTAAGTGGAGGGCTTACCTGCTGAACCGCCGACATTGAACATGAGCTGGTCATGAGGTGCAATGAATGAAGATGCTCCGGCGAAAGAGACCTGGNCTTCCCTGCTACACCGCCGACATTGAACATGAGCTGGTCATGAGGTGCAATGAATGAAGATGCTCCGGCGAAAGAAACCTGGAAAAAACAATTTGTCAGGATAACAGGCGGGAATATGGTCAGAAAGGGACAGGATGTAAGCTAACTCGCTCAGATGGATGATCGCCTGGCAACAGAGCAGACTGATGATAAACACAAAAATACAGGAAAACAGTTGGCCACGGATCCTGTTGAGGCTAAATTTGCACAATCCATCCTATTACCATCACCTTCAAGTAGACAGCGGTGTTACGTATCCGTAAATATCAACCACCTTAACCTGGAAGGCTTTGTTCACTGCTTGGGGGATTCAGACAAGCTACCAATAACTTTATAGGCTGAGTACAGTTGATGCCTGCTATTCTAAGAAGATGCAGTGATAATTGAAGTCCTCCGGCCCAGAGGCGCAAGTTTCATCTGACACAAAATTTTTCTCATTGTTGCTTTGTAAACAGTGAAAATCTTTTACCAGTTCAGTTCGGTTTCCCAACCATGAACCGTCGCGTTTGTGTGGAGGGGTTCGGATGGGTGGTGTAGGATGGAGGTACAGAACATCTTGAAGGGAAAAAGAAAAAGAAAAGCGGTTCATGAGTAAGGATAAGAGAATATATGCACCACTGATTGCGTGGCATCGCCAGTTGATATGATGGGTGTCTGATAAATCAAACTAACGGACAATATGCACCAAAGGTCCTTTGTTCATGCCCCGATTCAAGGTCATACACGATTCACTTTATGGTATCTTCCAGTCGAAACCTGTCTCAGCAGACAGGCCACGACGAGGAAGTCGAACGCCTGGCACACGAAGCACACGGCCGACCAAGTAAGTTGGTGCGGCCCAAACAACTCGTGAACCGGACAGGCATTTGGTTGTTGAGACGACGTATTTGTCGCACTTCAGCACTGCTGATTCGATGTTGCCATGATACACGTTCAATGCAAGACACCGACGGTCACAAATAAGCAATCTTCACAGCCGACGGACGCGTAGCGGACCCTCTTTCACTGACGGGCTAATGCCATGCCGAACTCACGAGGTACCCAGTTTGAAGAAGAGGACTGGCTTTGGCGATTCTAGCATTCACTTTATCGGTAATGCTGTCGTCTGTCATGATATAACTATTAAGCTAAGTGGATCTATCCATCACCTCTAGTGATTCTGATGCCGTGACCAGCTTCGGTGCACTGGGCCAGTCTTGCAATAGCATTTTACACTTCGAAGGTTCAAACGGTATACTTGAATTATTTAATGCATTTTGTGTCTGAATGGAATCTGAACAACGTAGCGCAATATCATTTGCATAACTGGAGTCTATAAGACCTTCCTCGGCAGAAGTGGCACGCCAGAAGTGGGTGATATAACAAAAGTTTCTACGATAACTAAATCCATTAAGAAGTTCACGGAAGGTGACAAATGGTGTCACCAGGTAGTGTCCAATACTTTACATTGATCTTCAAGCGCTAACTTGAATAAAAGGATTGGAGGAAGGTGACAAAACTAGTTGGCAAAAATTTGAAGGGAAAATCGTCACAGAGCAGCGCAATACACAGAGTCCAAAGCTATTTGAAGTTTAAGATGGTAATATTTAACCTTCTGTATGTTGTCTCAATGTAAGGCGAATCCACGGCCCAGAAGAAACCTAGATTGTTTTTGAAATCGATCGTCCAGCTGCAACAACCTTTTAGTGCCTAGGTGGAATACCATCCGAAAGAAACACGAGGGCTGAGAAACCGCAAGGTTGCCCAAGCTTAAGGGCGCAGCCGAGATAACTCGTTTCGGTTCGAAATAATGACCTTTCGGCACGCCTTAACCATTAGGATATCTCGAGCTCTTTTTTGGAAACAGGAGAAAATCGCTCGGTGACTAACTGCTATGCCACCAGGAGGCACTAGGGTTTGGATATTGTTAGATTGCTCAAGCCAAGACAGGGGAAGTCAAGAGGGAGAGGTCGGGTTCGAACTACGGACCTTCCGGCCGGTAAACTCGCACTGTAACCACTAAGCCATCTCGCCATCCACCATTTCTGTGGTATTTCATTCGCCTCCGAAATGCTCCGCATGAATTTTGACAGACCGTGAATGAGTCCTCATCTATGCTTATACAGGACACTGGTATGTTTCACTCGTTTTTTCGACTTCACCTCCTGTTCATTCCTCATTAAGAAGATGGTACTACGTTGAGCGTCATGCCGAGCACTTCGGACCAGCCGGATAGCTCCGCCAACTAAAGTAAGAGGAAGTACTTGAAATGAACTTTTGAGCCATCTTCGTCTTCACTGGCCGGGTTCCTCGGTCCGGTGTTGCGGATAAGTTGGAGAAGAGTTCAACTAATTCCAACTGCCACCGCATTTTCTAGTTATCTGGCTTTCCTTAGCCGCCAATCCTTACGGTCAGTTTTGATGTCGCGGGTCAGGCGTCTTATTGGAGATAACTTCACTGGAAGGCATCGTCGTCCTGGTGAAACCACCGTCCTGATAGGGGATATAAAATGCAGTGAGATCCGGCTTGAATAGGACTATAGCCTCAATTTTGGCTGCACAAATTTGAATATCAGGTTCACAGTAATTCGGATTTCGAATTAGTTCTCACCTGTCCGACCAGTTGGTATGGCGTTCGAAAGTTGTCAAGACACTTTCTGCTGAGACTTCGTTGAAAACCGAAGCTGATCCTCTTAGGCGTTTGAGAACGAAGTATAACGAAAACACAAACCATAAGATCATGACTCTGTACATGCGTCCCAAAAGAAGCGACAGACATGAACACAAGGATGCCGTCTACAGCTAATTGCTATAAGTTTCGACGGAGCGCGCGATTAATTAGGTTCGGAGGGCGCTAGGTAACGCGATGCTCATGTTTCTGCCGAAACCGCATGTTTGTGACGGACGAATAGTTTTTGAAAGCGATCACCACTGTCCGCTCAGGGAACGCCTACTAGAAATCTCCCTCATAGACAACTATCATTCATGCCGATCCCCTCCCCTCCCGAGAAAACACACAGCGGTAGCACCTTTCGACGCCCAACCGCCATGCCACTCGAGAGAAGCACGAGGACTGGGATACTGCCAGCCTAGATAGAAATCCAGATGCGGAAGTCGGGTTCGAACCGCGGACCTTCTGGTCAGCACATTCGCGCTCAAACTATAAGGCCATCTTGTCCTCCAAAACTAAGCGTTCAGATCCCCGACCGGAATAGTGAAATCCATGCATTAGACTATCTGTAAAAGTTTCGAAGGTTTTCTCTAAAAACAACCTCGACAGTGTCAATGCAGTTGTTGGGTCTTGTACGAGGAAAACGGACAGACTTGGGGATTTGGGACTGTGGGTTTGAATTCTGACAGACCTAGCCAGACCAACTACACACAGCCGGCTGTTCTTAGAAATCCAGTCAAACGGACAGCCTTTAACTCAGGCACTCAACACAATACTCACACCACTGCGACTACAGAGACCCATTTCTGGATCGCGTGACACCCGGAGAGTAACTGTGGATAACCTGAGTTGCTTCGGACGGTGCTCAGACGTACTGTTGTAGTAGTGTCCCGTGTGCGTGCTTCGGAGACGCAGAGCACGCCGACTTTTGAAAAGGGCGTTGGCAAAGGTCTGTTGACCTATCTGACAGGGAGCACGGACATCAGAAGCGGCTACGTTGAGCAGACTCCGTATTGCATGGCTTGGTTTTATTTTTCTGGGTAGATGACAAGAAATTAATGTTAAAGAGATGAAAAAAGGATTAATATTGGGATGGGCAGCGATTACAGTTGGAGCTGACAAACTTAGCGGAACAACCGGTGTCACTAGACTGCAAGGTCAAATGTCACTTCCCTGTTGCCGAGACGAAGGAACTGGGCTTGTTCACAGCACTGTACATTGAGGCCTCCATTTCCAACCCGAAGCGCTGCCCGTAGTCTCAGACTTAACAGTCTGGTCCACGAGACAGGTGTTAGGGTTTTCTTGGAAAACCACGCCCGGAGCCAATGACTCGACAGTGTAATCTACTTGTGGAAGGCTCGCCTAATCTGAGGTGCAGGAATCAATACAGAGCTTCTAGTCAGAGTGCACACAGCAGCATCACACTCTGGTTTTATATGTATTTCAACCATGTTGAAGAATGGGCAGGGGATTATGGTCAGCCGTTGGGTGGGTCTGAAGGAAAAACCTTAATGTTTTCACACTCCCATTTCATAGAGTAGTATGGTGCTGCACTCCCATCACATCGCATTATGATTACTCGTAGTATAGGCAATTGTTGCCCTTTGTCTGGTTGCACCACACTAACCTAAACATGCACCAACCATTCCATGAGGCGATTTCTGCACCACTGAAGCAGTTGTTTGCCAATACCATCATCATCATCATCATCATCATCAACGACAGCATGACATCAGTGCTCAACACCAATGCTTCACTGCCGTATAGCCATGACTTATTTGAAAGCCTTATTGTAAAGAAAAGAATAAAGGTGGATCGGGGAGGGAATTAGTGCTAGCTTAACACAATCATTCAGAGGTGCCTACACCTCCAGACATTCACTCAGGCAATCTGGACAGGAACTGACAACAAGAACGCCACTGACATCGGTTGGCAGCCATATCTTGTAGTGTCTCCAACCAGGCACAGTGAGGATCACGCGGTCCCCATCCTGGAAGGCGAGTAGCACCGACAGCACCCAAGCGTTTCGTGATCTCCTTCATACTCCTCTGCCAGGTCATGGATTGGCCACCTCTCTGTTTACGCCACTCCGAATTGGG